ACATTCCTGCGACGAATGGACGACAACCTCGCGATCCTATTCACCAAATTAAAAAATTACTATTCGAAGACTTTAATCTGCAAAATAGGTGTGAATTTTATGGAACTGGCTGCTACATTATAAAGTAAATCATTCGCCCCTGAACGACCATGACCAGTCTCACCACGTTTGCAGCTTTTATTGGTATAATTTTCTTGCTTGTGGTTCCAATGAATGTGTGATATTCTAGATTTAAAAAAAACTTAGCCAATGGAAGGGTTTAGTGAAAATCATCTCACATTTTGCAGTGTTGGCACTAGCCGCAAAATACTTCGCTCCTTATTTGAAATTGTTCGCATTTCGAGCCTCATGTTTTTCTTCAAGGATGTGATTTAGTGTGCATGGTGGAAACAGAGTGGCCCCGAATGCCCGAAACTGTAGACAGATGTGAAAATGCTGTTAATCAGGCTGAAGTACCTTGATTTGTGTGAGCTTCGACGCATACATAAAACAAATATGCGTCATCCAATTTTAGTTCTCATTTCACGATTTCAGATATTTTCAATTCCACAGCGAACAAGATGGTGTACAGTTCAACCAAAAGGCATCGTCGCATGGATAATTATCTTTGTGGAGGATGAGTGGTCAAGTTGATAGTCAGAAAAATGGAACATTGGAATGCGGGGTCGTGGTCTTTGACCTATGAAGTCTGCTTGAAGATTTCTTCTTCGTTGAAAATTCGAATGCTTTCGATTTAGTTATTTTGGTGTTCATTGGGACGAAAGGTTTTCGAGTTGTAAGTGTTTTGATTCGACATATCGATTGACTCTGAAATGGTAAATGACTTATTACTGACAATCGACCGCAGGTGTCAGTGCGACCCCACTCAGAACTTTTCTACGTATCGGGACGTCTGACTCATGCGTTTCCCCAACATTTCTGAAAACATCCCAAACGCAGTACAGTCGCACATCATCGTCATAGCAACGTAGTTATTTCGTTCGTCTGGCGAACTGGCGTCTGACCAACGACGGCAGATGTAGAACGTCATGGCTATGAGTCAATACCTATGACATAAGTCATAGCTGCGACTGACTCAGGCCACTGCATGGTAAAAGTGGATGTGCTCTGACCCTTTTCACTCAATCGAGTGTACGCGTCTTTCGACGACGGGTTCCGATCGTCTACGTGCTGAGGCTCAAGTCGTGGCTGAACTTTTCTCACATCTCTTGCCGCTTTCCACGCCCTTTCCACGAAGCGCTCCGTCACATCGCATTATCTTCGCTACGTCACCTTGGCGATTGCAAGTGGTCTGATATTTATTAGATATACCGCAGTTGTTCCTCATGGAATTGTCTGGGCTGGATTTCGTATGTGCGTCACTCAACAGGCAAACGCTAAGTTACTGATTTGCCACACGAGTGGGTTCAATATTAGACCGGTAATATCCCATTGTGCATGTATCTTCTTTACTCAACTTTTGACGTCAAGCTTAGGATCGGCCAAATGCAGCCAATAGCCGTAGGTCAATTCCAATGTAATTGTAAGGATCACAATCTTCGCACGACTTCATCTTCTCCAGATAACGGTCTCTAGCTGTGTCTTTCAGGGTCTCAAATAGGTGGAATAACTGGTAAGAATGACGGAGACTTAATGAGGCTACACCGGTGACATAGGCCTATCAATCGAAATCCCATCTCCCCTGTATTCCAGCATGGCGGATGTGCGCTCCGCCTCTGTGCTGAACTTAATCTCGTGACTAATAATATTTTTGAGATGAAGATTCATACACCGCCCATTCACGTTTAGGTACTTGCGTAATTAGGTTGAAAAAGTCTGCTAGTACTTCTGATCGAGTTGAAAAGGTATAGCGTGGAGGAGGAATTTATGGCATGGTGGGAATTGGTATCACTTACCCTAAATATCCTTCCCGGACTCTTAAATTCCACTGTGCATCCGCATCCACTCGCCCGTCCGGTATTAGTCCGCTGCAAGCATCAATTGCGTTGCAGTCGCCTGGCACAACGGGCTGAGAGGGCACTCTTGGCTCCGCGTTGCCTCGTATTAGCTCTTGTCCATGTTCGCATGATTGTGTTCATTTAATGCTAGTGCCTTTATTGTGGCGACGCAAGAAGTACAATGTGCATCGGGCAACAGTGATTTTGCACAAGAGTTTGTGCCACTTTGATTCACTGCTAATCTATTCCTTAGGTACGTTTTTGGAGGTGAGGGTATATTCCCTGAGGTAAAAAAAGCATTATCCATATGAATTCCATGTTAAAAGCAGTAGGACATTATTTCACATTATTTCAAGTTTCATGGGTTGAGGGAAATTTGCTTGGATGAGGGAAGGGTGCAGGTGTGAGGTCAACAGGAAGTGCTCAAACCGTGTCGAAAGGGTCAAGGATCGAACACATTGGGGATAAGGTCGGATCGGTGGTGTTCTCCAAGTCAACTGAGGGAGTGTCGGGGGTTCTTAGTGCTGGGAGCAATGATACTCCCTAGACTGGCTCAGAACTGGCAGGCTGAGGCAGACTATTAGGACGTGTCTGGAAGCAAGGTGGCTGCCACTTCCGTGAATATTTTGAAGAGGAGACTAGGCGTTTTCATGGGCAAAGTATAATAATAAGGGGGAAATTTAGATGTAAGGTACTAGGCAGTAAGAGACTATGATATGTTAACAAGAAATTACAGAAATAAATGCAGAAATCTTTAGCTCTAAAAGGAGTAGACCTATATTAAATGTAAGAAACGCCCTACCTCGACTCGTGGCGTCATAATGGGTGTAATCGCCTTCTGATACCACCAACCTACCTTGATACAATGATTTGGAAATCAAAGTATTTCCTGGGCCACAGCACCATCCATTAAACCCCAGTAGCTCATTCTTGAAGGACTTTTACCTGTAATAGGAAGGCTATAAGCACACAATAGCACAGTTAAGCCTACTAAAATCATTCGTCAAGTGTAACCATATTCCTATTTGAAGGTGCTGAAGACTGTCCGCGTCAAGCAACATGGAATTGGAAGCAGATCCTTTTATTTTTTCTTCTTGGAAAACATTTCTTTTGGAATTATATTTATTAGACTGCACAATTGAAAGGGAAATCTCCCATTGAGCAAGGAAGAAATCCTCCATTCAGGAACCATCGAAGAAGTCACTGCGAGAAGTCGTAATGAGTTATAACTTAAATGTCTTATGCCGATGAGTGGATAATAAACCAATTGAGTGAGTGGATAATTTTCACCCCAATAGCATTTCTTTCTCCATATCATAGACACTCCTCATTGTATCAAGTCTGCAGAGGGAGGTTGGCTAGCAGGAAGATCTGGAATCTTTTCATAGCCTTCCAACTATGATTATAGAATGACATGTTAATGAGGGATCATTTGTGGAAGATATGCTCACAGACACCATTGTTAAAAATTCTTGTACGTTTTGCCTGTGGTGACTCACGATCTGTTAAAAAAAGGCTCTTCAGTTGAGATGGTGCAGGTGCTGCATACCTTCTCTCTCCTTGGCAATGTAAGGGGAAGGTGTGGCAAAATGGGAAGAGGGGCAAAACGATGTAACTCAGATATTAATCAAACCACATCCGACATCTATCTGCAATTTGTCCTATTTTAACCCTCGCCAGGAGCAAAATAAGAAAAACATCAACTTTTCTTATTTTGTTTCGAGATTTTGATGAGCGAAACAAGGTAAGATGGAAAAATTAGAGGCATCCGGATTTTTTTTTTCAAGTTTAAAATGTGAACTATATTACATTGAGCCATAATTTTTGCCCGAGGTTACTCATATTTTCTTTGCCAGTGTCTTAATCATACCACGTAGACAGTGCTGATAGAGCAAAACGGAGTCACGGTGAGGGGGCAAAATCAAGCGGTATAGCTGCTCTATCTACGAATTATCTATTCTCCTTTGGCTGGAATATCCATTACAACGGTGAGGCTCAGGCTTACACGATGTGTTACTGTTCAGATTCTGTCTCTCGCTCAAAATCCAGTGAAGGTTGGGTCACCGGAAGTCGGTTCATGACAGCTGTGCAGACATCGATGACGACTAGGAATGGGACTTGTTTTTCTGTGACATCTGTAAATTTGCATCTATGATGAATACACGGATAACAATTTGAAACAGCAACACTTGTTTTGCCATAAAAGTTTCATTGTTTCCGTTCAGTGGGTATATGAAAGGTATATAACTATGAATAGGTATATAGCGAAAATATGGGAAAATAAGAGAAAAAAAGTTTCTTTGTAGATGTTTCAATGCAGTTTCTGTTCTTTAACTTTGTAAGTAAGAATGAATACTTAGGAAAACGAGAAAACACATGGTTGTAATTTGTGTATGTTTCGTTACGGTCTCATTTCTTTGAACGTTGTAAATAGGCACAACATTAAGACACTTGAGAACATGGGAAAAGTCATTAGTTTGCTATTTGTAGATATCTCATTGATGCTGCGGTCCTGTGACATATTTAAAAAGGTATATATGATTTTAAAAACTTTGTAAAACATTATTTCGAGGATTTTTTGGAATTTTCCAGTGCAAAAAATTGTCACTGATTTCGCGAAGAAGTGGAATTCTTGTCGTAGGTAAGACATGAAAGGTACCGCATACTGATCCACAACGTGCTCTGCCAACTCCGTGGTAATGCATTTTAACAATTTCCCTTAAACACCCCCTTTTGGCCACCTTCCGTTCTGCTGCTGCATCTCACCAGCCATCACTTCTGACTGTATTTACAACTTTTATTGATAAACCAATTTCAGTTTGAGCTCTGTATGGCCCTTTTTTTTATACTGTGATTGGGCTGCTGTTGCACTTGTGCTAGGTCATCCTATTCCCATGAGATAAGGGGAACATAGATCTCTCAAAAAAGGAAGATTGCTTTCTGGCAGCCCTGTGAAAACATGGAAATTGCTATGAATGCGGTATACAACACAATTCGAAAACACATGAGAGACAAGTGATGGATAATTTCTTAGGTATTGCTGGAAATAAGCAGCGTGAAATACGGTCAATAAAAATAGATAGAACCTGTTGTAAGTCTAATTGCATTTGACAATAAAAATGTACTTTTTCATTTTTTTCAAACAGCACAGGCAACATCAAGATTAGAGCATGTTTGCAAATACCTATGGAAAGTATAAAAATTTTGAATGTGGCCTGGTGATTTCCAGCGAAGATGTTCAGAAGTTGCACCCCATTCCCCTAACCAAAGTCTCAGCTGATGTCACCTGGTTGGATGTAGGCATCAAGGTCACCCTCACACAGACCTATAAGAACAGGGAAACCAAGTAAGACACAATCACATGATATCCCACATTAGATTAGATAATTAGTCTTTTAGATTTGTTGCAGGTATGATGAAGATTAATTTTAAAACCCAATGTAAAAGCATTAAGGAGTTTCCAGTAGAGCAAGAATATTTAAGTAGAAATTCCATCTTGTAAAAAGCAGCAAATTTGAGAAACATATGAAATAAAATAAATCTTTATTTTGATAAAAATTTGCTAGATTGCTTGCCTGCTCAATTTGCCTTTCTTTTACATATTTTAGTTGTCGTCAAGATTAGAATAGTGTTCAAGCAATTACAGGTTGTCAGCTTTCCTTCTTTAAAGTGGGACAATTAAAAAAAAATTCTAATTGCTCAGCACCAGTAGAGCTGCTTCTCTGGATTGTAATGTGCTGGAAAAAAGATTCAATTTTCCTAATGTTTTTTTTTTTCGATGAAATATCAGGGTGTGACATTTAGTTGACCATTGGATGTGTAAGATGACCACCAATTGGTATTTAAGTCTGACATGTCCTGAAGTGAATCTGTTTTTCAAGGCCAGAATCTTTATTCAACCATGTCTGAATTTTTTTTCCCTAAGTACTTTTTTTTACTACATCATTTATTCTTTCCATACAATGTCATCGAATATTCATAACAGGTAGAGTCATATGCTCAACCGTTCCCAATCTCCTAACTATATTTCGAAACACCTAGGCATCTCAGTTAAACCAGTACATCTCTCCAATGAAAGTGTGACGTTCACTTTGTGCAGAATGAGTTTTGGTAGCATATTAAAGGCCATGTCACTCCAAAGCCGATCTCGAAAAGTTTTACAGTTAACTAGATTTTCTCGTTCAAAAGTGTTATTAAAAGACAATGTTGAAGACCGGTTGGGTCAACATGATTTTGTGGTTGCACGACCTTGTCGAACAAAGATTGCACTGCTATCTGCTCAAGTAGAATCATATCATTTATACTCATGGTATTGAATATTTAAATTTGAGGGTTACGTTTATCTCCCAATAGGCCGGTGGAAACACAATATGTATTCCCCGTGGATGATAGAGCAGCAGTGTGCGGCTTTCAAGCTGAGATTGAAGGGAGGACAATACATGGAGAAGTGAAGAAGAAACAAGAAGCTAGGGAGATCTACGAAGAATCGGTGAAACAAGGAAAAACCGCGTTTCTCGCCGAGGAAACCAAGCCGGATATTTTTCAGGTTAAAATCGGGAATCTCCCAGCTGGGAGTGTCGCAACCATAACTCTAACATATGTAACACAAGCAACAGCAGAGGGAAATGCATTGCGGTTTTTCCTTCCTACGACTATTGCCCCGAGATATATTCCACTAAGTGACGCCAGCGAAGCTGCCAAAGTTATCGGCGATATCGATTACTCATTCTTCTCACCATGTCCCTTAGAAATCCAAGTCCATATTGAGACAGAACGAAAAGCTTTGTCAATCAACAGTCCCACACATGAAATCAAAATCTCATCGAAAAATGAGGTTTCAGACTCAAAAAGGCACTTCAGGACAGAGGTGAAACTCCTAGGAGTTTCGACAGACATGGATAGAGATTTTGTGATGCTTCTGGAGACTGAGGCACATCATCAGCCAAGACTGATATTGGAGAGAGGTTCCGATTCCACTGTTGCGGCCATGATTACATTGATCCCAAGTTTCAAACTACCCCCATTGAAGTGTGATTTCATATTTGTGATTGACCGTAGTGGGTCAATGGGTGGGGAAAAGATGGAGAAGGCGAAAGATGCAATGCAGCTGTTCCTAAAATCATTGCCAACGGACTCGTATTTTAACATCATGAGCTTTGGCTTTACATTTTCTTCATTGTGGGAGGGAAGTGAAAAATACAGAGAAGACAGCCTACACAAGGCAACTGCACATGTTCTTGAAATGGAAGCAAACTTCGGTGGAACGGAAATTTACGAACCTCTCTCAACTATTTTCCAGCAGGTACAGCGTGATGGCTACCATCGTCAAGTGATTGTTCTTACTGATGGTGAAGTGAGCAACACAGAGCAAGTTATTGCACTTGTAAGAGAAAACTGCAAAACGAGTAAGACAAGGGTTTTTGCCTTGGGTGTGGGAAGTGATGCGAGTCATTATCTCGTGAATGGTATTGCACTTGCTGGGAACGGAGAAGCTCAATTTGCAACCCTGAAAGAAGGACTGAGTGGAAAGGTCCAGCATCTTCTCAAGAACTCGCTTCAACCTTCACTGACCTCTGTGAAAGTAATTTGGGCTCACTCAGACACCATTGAAAAGCCAGAGCCTGGTAGGCCTCATGAAGTCGTCACTAAGAAAACTTTGCTCGGGTATGGAAAACCTGCGGCAGGGAAGAAGGATGTTGTAGGAGATGAAGAAATCGAGAGAGTCAGAGACCCATTGATGAGAATCAAGAAATTCCCTTGTATTTTTGATGGCAGTTGTTATGCAGCGTATTGCATTTATAACAATCCTAACATCATTCCAGAAGCGATAACGTTGAGTGCTGATTCTCCAGTGGGGCCGTTATCCGTGACGTTCCCTGTGATTCTCGAGGAGAGTTCTGTTCGGAATATAGTACACACTCTTGCAGCACAGTCTGTCATTCGAGAGTTGGAAGAAGAGCTGCAAGATCGAATACTCAACAATGATGACTATTCGAAGAAGGAGAACACTGCAATTTATTTGGGTATTAAATACAACTTGGCATCCAGTCTCACTTCCTTTGTAGCTGTCGATGAAAAAGGCGAGATACAAAGAGATGCTCCTGTCCTTAGGACCGTCCCCAGCATGACACCACACGGTTATGGTGGCTTTGTAGGTAGAGCCATGGCGCATACATCATGCAAGTGGGGTTATCAGCCTTTTTCCCTTTTGCCATCCAATCCATTTTCGCGACGTGCAACGTCTTGGGGATGTTCTCTTGGTACTTCCCTACCTCTCGAAGTTTCCTATGAGTCTGTTCCATGTGGCCCTCCACTCCATGCCATGATGGGAAAGAGAAATAAAACGAAGTCGTTTGTCAAATCGCCAAGAACCCTTCGACCCAAGTTGCGCTTTTCTCTCTGGTCTGATCTGTCGAAAAGAGTTTCTTCCTTTTTTGCTGGCAAAGGTACTTCCCATTCCTTCGCATGTGAGCAGGTTGTTGACAAGGGACGCATAGAACGCTCTATTGGAAGTGATTGTCACATGAACTCTGATGAAGGAAAAGTCCAGATTCTTGCGCGTTTGCAAATTTTTGACGGATCGTTCTCGTTCGACCTGCAACTGTTGAAACTAATTGGCTTGACAAGGAATGAGTTCTTGAAGGAAAGAGATGAAACGAAATGTGGGGATTCGGAGCTGGCCACAGCTCTGGCCGTGGCTTTCATGGAGATGAAGTTGTCTGCATGCAAGGATCTTTGGGAACTGATGGCGAAGAAGAGCCGAACTTGGTTGGAAGGGAATGGGTCTTCTGACCTAATTGAGAGCGTGAAGCATCTTATTCAATGAGGTTCAACCTGGTTCATTCGCATATACCGCAATATTGAAAATGAAATTTTGGGTGAGATGTTGTTTCACCGATTCGAGAAAGACTCGAAGGAACATTGATCCAGGTTTGGTAATGATTGGTCTATGCTGAGACTGAGTGAGTTTCATCAGTGCTCAAGGGAATGAGGATGAATTGATCACGATCTGACATTTCCTCTTGCAGTTGAAATTATATGGGAGAAGAGTGTCAATCTTCGCTTTATTTGTTTGAAAGAAATGTCCTATTCCACTCCTTGTGAGGTGACGCAGTTGATGTAGTAAATCTTTTAAGTTGTGTACATATCCTTTACTTCGAGAAAAACGTAATGACTGCTGGAAGATCTTTGGAAAAATTGCTTGAATGTCTATCAAATTTGAAACATCGATACCTTACTCGATTTTATTTCTCAAAGCACTGAGGCTTGTATTCGAATTCGTTTTCAGTTAAGAATAAAAATATATATCGGTTTTTCTTGTTTGTAATGTCATTCATTTCACACTCGTGATCTGAACATGATGGTACCAAATTCGCTTGGTGTTTCGATATTTACTGTAACATTTTTCACTGGAAATTTTGAAGGTTTGCATTTGAGATTTGAAGAGGCACTTCTGCAACATCGACACGCATGGGATGCAACTGCCCGCCCCATTTTCATCACACAGACTAATGGATGTCCTCCCGCACTTGAGTCTTCCTCGTGTCATCCTCAACGTGCGATGCTTTAACCTTCACGTTAAGAACGTAGTTCCCGCCCGGGAAGAACTTTCCTCTTGCAAATCCTGCCAGATTCGTTCCTGCCAGTTATGGGTTCCCTGCCAATTCCCCGTTTGGGATATACTCCGACCTGTAAATTTCCTATCGATGAATCCTCTGATGGTGGTACGAAGGAAACGGATTTGTTTCCCATTTAAGTTTCCTATCTCTCGCACATGATGCATGGAGAGTGAGGAGGGAGTGTATGCGGCAGCTCCCCAACAGAGCCGGAACTGAAGGGAGGGGGAATCCAGGGGATCGGAAGGAAAGGGGAAATTCACTAATCTTCTCTAATCCTGGCGAAGAAGAAATAATTCAATTATTTGCATCTACCACTGGAAACGCCTCTGGAACATGTCTCCTTATGCAATTCCGGTTAGGTCATCGAGAAAGGTTCTGATGGGAAAGATTTAAGAAATGAGAATGGGAATGGTTCCCGGAAAATACTTTTAGCGACCAAAGATGAGACAATCGACAAGATGAGTATGAAATTCTAAAGCTGTTCGATATATGGGAATGTCGGGTGGCTTATGAATCAGATCATTGAGTGATCAGTCCTTGGACGGTGCCAGTGTTGGGGTTCGTGGATTCATGGAGTTCACGAGGAGTAAAAAAGCTAAGAACGTTCTTGTTTCTTTGGGGCCTATGCGCTCGCTAAGAACAAGATGAACGTAGACGGACGGAGAATATGTTGGGAGTGTCTCTTTAGAAGATACGAATGAAACTGCAATTACGACGCTACAACTGAAAGAGGGCAGGATGTCAGCAGCCAAGGAGGTCATTTTACGCCAAATCGACAAGCGAGTGAGCTCGACCATCTTGAATTTTGACGAAAATCGGCATATTCGTAGAGGAATCGATTTAAAGAGACCAATTTCAACCAATCTCTCAGACTTCCAGATACGTACATTTTAATGTGAACTACTTTTCGCTCCTAGCGCCCATACGGACTGCCTTACAGCCTTTCTAACAATACAAGACTCAAGCTTGACACTAAATGGGTTCATGAGATATAACCGTTTGACGGCATCGACAGTGCTCTCATTTTAGCACCTAGGAATCTTGGAAATGTTCTTTAAATTAGCTCTCTGCGTGAAATTTTATCGAAATTTTCTGGAAATGAAAATGCATGAAAATTTTCGCGTACCCCCTTCAAGATGCAGATTTACTCGAGCGACAAGTACGCCGTCATCGACGGAGCCTGCTGATTCCTCCCCCCCCCTCCCCCCCCTCCCCCTCCCCCGCAAATTAGCTCATATTGTGATTCCGAAAGCGCATGAAAACGTAATCTCTGCAGCGCCACTACGCTTCTTCTTGTGGGACAGGAAAAATGCCCACCGGATGTTTTCAACGACTGAGGACTTGCAGCTCTCATCTGCATGCCAGGATCGGTACACAGACAACACTTTCAAAGCAGCTCCAAGGCAATTCGTGCAGATGTGTTGCATCCACGGCTGTTTTCACGGAGAAGTCATCCCACTCGTCTGAACTCTTCTACCAGGGAAAGATGAGCGACTGTACTCCAGGATGCTGAAGCACCTTCGTGTTCCGCTTGGAATCTCTGCACCTCAGAGTGTTACGACAAGTTTTGAGAAGGCTGCTAAGAATGTCCTGGAGCACGTGTTTCCAGGTGTGCATTCGCACGATTCTCATTTTCATCTCGCACAGCGCGTATGGAGAAAGATTCAAGGTTCCGGCCTGAAGCCACAACATGAAGGTTATCCTAAATTCCGACTGCAGATGAAGCCCCTTCCAGCACTACCATCGCCCATCGAATCGTTGGTGCTCACCCTCCCTTCCCCCCGGGACGTACAGTAGATCCACACCTGAAATCCATGGTAGAAAGATACGCTGGGAATCAGAACTGAACTGCAGACGAACTGCAGGAGTTGGTGCGTAGTGTTGCCTATAACACGAATTTTTAACAGGAGGACGGAAAAATGGTGCAATTTTAAGCCGACCCGTGGAAAACTTCCACGATCTCTTTGGCAAGAACTCCCTGGTTTATTTGTGGTCCTAAAACTCAGAAGCCCTCCCATCGCTATAGGCAGCAGACCCTCTTCCCCAATTTTTACACGTCCCCATGTAGAATCCTTGGAGTCCCGGTTTGTCTCGCTGAAGGAAGGAACATTTCCTCGCCAGGGTGAGATCTTCGCCTTTATTTATCGGAATCCCGACCCCTTTATGGATCTGCCCTTTTTCCTATCGACCACAATCACCCATCCCGTTCTCGAGAATGACCTTTAAGATTTACACGAACTTCGGGTCAGTCTAGGCCAGAGGTGTCAAACTCAAATCGGTCGGCGGGCCGCATTACTTACCCTGCAGATGTCTGCGGGCCACTCCCATAATTTTTTATTGAAATTTGTGATGAAAGTCGATCCAAGCCGAAATTTCACGAACCGACGGCGGGCCGGATGAACCACCTCCGCAGGCCGGATCCGGCCCGCGGGCCGTATGTTTGACACCCCTGGCCTAGGCCATGGGTATCAAACTGCCGGCCAACAATTTCATTTCGCCTACCTGCAAAGTCCTCCTCGACAGTTGGTTTTTAAACAGAGTAGACTTTTTCAACCTGTTGATAATTGAAATTTTGGTGCAAGTTGTGCGATTGTGGGCCCAACCACTCTTGAAGGGTTCCATCCGGCCGCCAGCTTAGTCAAGTTTGACATTTCTTGACTTTGACTTAGAAAATTCCGAGTGTTTGGGGAGTAAAAAGTGAGCACACCGTGAGCTTTTCGAATTTCCTCTCTTATTACTCACCAAATGCTCCCTCATCGCTTGTATTAAAGTGAACACCTTGAAGTTCTTCTTCAGGCCACTAGATGGAGGGAAGGGTTTCGCTTTTCGCGCAGTACACAAAAGTTCCCTTCCCTCTTTCCCTGGAATCGTCACTCGTAGGATTGCTTAGTACCTCGACATATGTCTCGCCTAGTCTCATTATAGGAATCAATAAACACGGGCACTTCATCATATGTTTTCCACGTATTCAAGACATATTCATAGAGTCCAGGCCATAAACAAGCTCATATTTCTATCGAGAACCCTTTTTGAAGGCACATGATTTCATCCGCATAGAAGGTCTAGAACATACAGTGTGTCCGTGATCTTCATTCAATCATACCTCAGTTAAATGAGGTAATAAGGGATTGATATCCCGGACACTCCATGGAGCCTATAAGAGGTGGTCCACCCACTGACGTGAGCTGTAATCAGTACAGACAGTGGCTATACGAGAGCGAAACAGCACAGTATATGAGAACTTTCGTATTTGCAGGACATCTCTATCACTTTCGTTTTTACTCACGGAAGAGGAGAGCAATTTTACTCCTTGGTGATGAAGTAAATTCGCTCCTTTCCTAGAATGAAAGGGGAGTGAAACTGGAGTTAGCTATTTTACTCTCTTTTTTGAGAAAAAATCACTCCCCTTTTTCTAAGAGTGTAGGCTAAGCGTGTAACATAGGGTCCCCAGGATGAATTGTGAGACCTGGGGCAATGTTTACGTGACGGCCCCCTTTCCACTCTTCTCCCCTCCCTGCCGCTTCAAGTATGCTCACTGAGTGCGTTTGAACTCTTCATTGCGAACGAACGCTACGATAATAATAAACAACAGTACATACATCATCCGGTGTGGTCGGTACCCCCCCCCCCCGCCCCCCTTTCTACGGTCCTGAACATAGGCCCGTATGCAAGAACCTATCACATGATAGCCTATTACATGGTGGCTATCATGATAGGTATCAGGCGATAGGTCTATTATTTGCTCAGTTCCGTATGCAAGAACAAATTATAGGTATCCATTGTGAGGCCTATTAT